GTGCCACACATTTGGCACACCTGGCCACAAAATAGGGCATAGAAAAGACACTGTCCGGATGGCTGCTTATCTCGTCGGTGTCAAACACGGCGCTGGGAATACAGACGTAAATGTCGGTAGATATCGCGGCGTCTAACACCGATGAGCTCACATCCAGTCGTAAGATGCTGAGATCCGGCATGTCCCATTCGCAATGCCGTTTGTCGTACAAATGACAGTTTGGCAATCGACAGTACACGAATAATGAACATATTGTTTCGAATCCATCTTCGGTACTTAAGGTGTCGTGCCATACGTATATATAAGTCTTAGTATCCTATTTCATCATTGTGTGGTATATGTTTATATATTTTGAATAATCGGCGTTCAAGTATATTTTTAACTCATCAAATATATTTTGGGAGCGCCTAATAAGCCTTCATTTTTGCTGATGAGCCTTCTCCCGTACATCAAACAAGTTATTGGATTTGAATGCCTCTAAAATATTCGATTGTAGAATTCAATTTCAATACCCTCGACCACTGGTTTTGCTTAGGCGCTTTAAGCACACACGTAGGTAGTAAGAAAGATATTCAACAATATCTATTGTTTATGGTAGTTTATTAAGTAGTGGTAAGATGTCAGAAAAATTGTCTGATTCAATCAGTGTTTACCAAATCGGTATCATCAGTTTGATGTTTTAAACAGAGTTCAAATCATCAATTACAGGATATAATGGAGTAAGATCTTTGATACATCGGACTACTTAAGGTTCTGCAGGAGCTGCTAGTATTTTTACTACTTGACGGTACGTTCTTAGGCTGTGTCCTTGTTTCCACGTAGACGACGTTGCGTAGGATCAACTCCATCCTTATTCTTAAGGAGAGATTGCCGCAAGTATAGCGTACTGGGAACCAGGAAGTCATTACCATCACAAGATCACGGTTTGCAGTATCTGTAGAGCGGTAGAAGATCGCATGAGATCCTACACGGATGTCTGATGGCATTAGCATACATCTCACGGATTCATTTCAACGCATTATAACAATCGGAAGAATGGTATCAGACTAATGCGGTGTTAGACCTTCGTGGTGAAGATCGAAAAAGTCACCAGCGCTGTTCAAATAGTCTACTGCTATCGGCGATCGTAAAATTATGAATGCGTGACGACAAAGGGCTTCATTTGGCATGTAATCTTAATAATTAATCGACATATAGGGTGAAGGCGCATTGGCAAAAACTTAAGGTTCATTTCCGTTCCCTTATTTTCGGGAGCCCTTAACTACCGCCACTCCTTATATATTGCATTGACACCAATTTAGTTTTCATGTTTTTGATTGGTCATAATACAATGTCATGTACTAAATACTAGCCAAGTAACTTTACGTACTTTTCAATACATCATCAGCACGCAAACACTCGCAATGAAACAAAAAAGGCGTCATACGCACTGATCCCAGTTTTTTTATACGCTGCTCCCCATACAGCGGTCGCAACAGCACAAACGCAGTATCCATTCAATTCTTACTGACTCTGCGGTATTATTCTGCCGACGCTACCCTCTCATCCACCCGTAGTGTAAATTTATACCATCAGAAGATGCCAGGGGGCTGGATCAACCACTTCAACTACGTTCTACCGTCGACACTGAGTTACCGCGGAAGCACAACTCGTCGAGCAATTTATCTTGTATCCCGCAGGTTCCATAATGTCTGGGCAAAGATATGATCCGTCCGATAGCTGCTACACGTTCTGGTTGTTCTCTCGTTCTCACAACGTTATTCGGCAGATACACAAAGTAGGCAGTCTGGGCTGAGAAAGACCAAGTAAATGTAAGTAATTGCTTGTGTGTACTCGTCAACGATTTCATTCTAATTGCAGTTAAGCACTTCCTAGACCATAATTAGCGTGACATCTATTTCGTGCACCGAGTATGTTATCAATTGCATCACCGAGGGTAGACCCTTCACCCTTGTCGTCAATCCGGATTGTGTTGAGTGCGTCAACAAGCTATATCAAATATAGTATCTGTGCCGGTACCCAATGTTGCTATGAGACTTAATCCAATCAGTCACCGTTGTGGCAATAATTTGTCTCACAATGTCTATCGACTGTCGGACATGATAATTGGATTCTTAACAATAGCATTGTTCGATCAAACTTGAATACATATTGACTTATCCTGATATAATGTCAGGCGCCGAACTGTCGTCGACAAAGCCACATGGTGGTGAAATCCTGTCGACCTCGCTATTGGGTGCATATCAAACCCTCCCACTCGTCGCGCGCAATGGTAACATTGTTGAATCGTTGCTTTTCGTAACTACACCACATCAGCGAGCTTACAAGACAATGTATGTTACTTCTTACGCGTCAAGTGTAACCCACGAAAACTCTTTTGTAGTACTTACGACTTTTCCAGTCACATACCAAAGCACCGCCTTAACTTTTGTTTGTGGCTAACCCAATAGGCAACCCACACATACTTCTGTTCCTCTCCGACAACAATTTCTCCTTCCATGACACGTACACTGGGTTCTTACAATGGTTTCGCGTTGCTCTCCCCTTCTAAGTTCTGGAATGTAAAGTCAATTTCCGTGGAGTGTTTACCCGTGAGCGATTTGTATTCGAACTGGGTACGTTTTCTTAACTCATGTCCAATGCTTTCCTCCACCGTTGGTTGCATCCACTACTTGCTGCTTGTTTTCAGTGTATATTGAAGGTGGCAGCCGAATACTTAATTAACACACGTCTCCGACTTAAAGAAATGCGTATTAATAATCAGATCTAGTAATTTATCATTTGTAACAAGATTGTAAGATACTTCTGGTGACTGTGATAATCTCGTTTACACTAGCAGAAGGCGTAAAATTGCATAAACTACGGTATTATATTGAATTATTTGGTGGTTCGCAAAAATCGGGTGGGTGGATAAATTTTACCTGATGTAAAAAAATATTGTTTTTGTTGTTTTTTCGATTGCTCCTGCTTTTGATGCTGGTGCCTTTGTTGCTTTTGTAAGTGATGCTACAAGTTGCTGTTTCGCTGCTTCTTTTATAGCTGTTTAAGCTTTTGCAATTGTTATATTGATTCTTATGTTTATATCCTCTGAGCTGCTAGTGCCGTGTTACTTCTGTTAGCATAATTGTCGTTACTCATTTTACTATTGATGTTGGTGCATAGGGGCTTCATTTAAGTATTAGTTGTAGGATTGGCACTCGCTACAAGTTTTAAAAAATTGTCTCTGTTTAATGTAATGAAATAGTCTGCCATGAACCCATTGTATCTGTTTGTTTCTTTTTTGATAAATTTGATAGCTTTCAGACTGCTTTGCTAAGGAAAAATTGAGAGCAGGGGAGGTGCAATGATACCTGACGCTTATTCTATCACACTTCTGTCGAATTTGTTTGTTATTTTATTGTACAAACACGTTCCTTTCTTGATTTCATCCGAAAGTTTTTGATTGACATCGTGAATTCGTAAATTGACATGTTATTTATTCTAAATTAGATACGAAAGCGCCGCCTTTACTTTCTGCGTGCACAAATCTGTGTACAATATGAAGGTACATACAAAGAATATGAGATCGATGCTAGTGATATTAAAGACATATAAGTGGTATATAACAGGAGGCTACCGGTACTCTAAATGACTAACATTTCAAAGAAAAGTACGCTGTACGTGGAGAGTCACAAGTTGATGACCATGAAACAATACATCTAAAACGGCGCAAAGGATTGACTCACTCAAGCACACATCATCTAGCCTTTTGTGTGTTTCACATATATGTTGACGTAATTTAGCGTTAATTCGAAAGCGAAGCAAAAGCCAACACGATCTCGCTTGATTTTTATTAGAACATAACCAGGTTTATCTATTATAAAATAAAATCAGACGTATTAGCACATTGCATTTTAATTGTGATTATGATAGGTCTGTTTTTCTTCATCAAGCACGATGTCAATATAGTGTAATACGTAAAAAGCGAATACCAAGGACGTGAGCTAAGTTTTGTTTAATAATTACCTGGGACTTTCTACATTTTCGAAATACATGGGGCTTTTTAAACTCCCCTACATTAACTGATAATGCTTAGGCTCAATATCTTTATTTTGAAGCACGATATCAAAAATTTAAAAAGAACGACTCGACCACCGTAACCTTCTTGTTCCGTCGCCTAAAAATTTGCAAAAATAAAATAACTTTACCAATAAGTTGCCCAAATACTAATTACTCGTTTGATTTCGTCCCTTACAGAAATTTGGATTTGCCAAAATCAGGGTTTTCGTCACTCCTGATTTATAAGAATTAGTAAAAAGAATCGCTGATAAAAACATAAAGAAGTTAACGTTGTGATAACACCAACAATCAAATTTGAAATTAATCTCAAATAGCTTATAAGGTAGATAAACCATTCTGGTCTATGAAGGTGTTTCCATCCGATTTGCTCTAATATAAATAGAGAAATGTTACAGAATAGGACACTTTTATTTAAAATTCGTAGAATGGGATACTTCTTTTTATTCACAAGATAGAACACTTTTTAGTCTTTATGATCTGAGCCTCGCGAGCGACGCGAGGAAGTCCCCTAAAGTTCCCCCTCGCAGTCTCGAAACATCATCCCCGAGACATGTTCCCTCGATATCACTCTTCTCATCGCTTCAAACCTCCTTCTTCCACAGGATCCTCAACCAACTGTCATGCCACCTACCATCACTCCCGACGTGCCATCTTTGAAAGAACTATTCTTCTCTACTATGGATTAAGGAATGATGGCCATTCGATTACAGGCAGCAAAAGATCACGTCAGCTACAAAGTCTCCGATAGAAACAAAACCAGAGCCTACCTCAAGTGTTCAGGCGACGATTGTCCTGCATATGCCCGCATATCATTCCACGTAAAAACCGAACATTACCGTATCAGTCAGGTGCAAGATCAGCATTTATGCCAAGGATGGCTTAAGAAATCTGGGGGATGACAGCGTGAGCACACATTTTTGGTAAAGCAGCTTCGCGAAGGCATGACAGTGAACAGCGAGGCTCCTATTGAGGATGTTCAGCAGTTTCTAGAACGAAAAATTGGTGTCGACATTCCGTACACTACCGCTCACAAAGAGAAGGGAGCAGTGTGTGCTGAGATAGTCAATCCGCAACGGGAGCAGTACAATATGGTGGAAGGCTATGTTTAATGTCTACTTCGTGAGGATACCTAAACTATCGTAAAACTCGAAACACATCAAGTCCCTAACGAAAACGGCATGGAAAAGCGATTCCATAGTCTATTCATCGCTCCGGGTGCAACGAGATACGCTTTTCAACATATTCGCTACTTTGTGGCTGTTAATGGGACTTCAAACAAAACCCGCTATGTCCAGATCCTTCTTTTGGCTGTGTCAATGGATGCTCAGGATGAACTGGCAATTTTGAGATGGGCGGTTGTTCCAAATGAATGTGAGGAGACATGGGACTGGTTCTTGACTAGCTTGAGGAAAGCGCATTTTGGGGTCAACGAGCGTGGAAGTGTACTGGTAAATGACCGTGAAACTGGGCTGATGAATTCAGTGACAAAAATTCTTCCGAACGCTTTTAACGCCTTTTGTTGCAATATCATTGCTGCAAACGTTCAGACTAAACATGGAATTGTCTTCAAAAGGTATGTACTATCCAAGTCGCGTTGTTGGTAAATGGTGGACAGTCATGAGCGACACCAATCCGTTTGTTTTTTGCTACATTAGACTCTTTTGGAAATGCGTCTACGCCAACAAGAAAGCTGATTTTGACAAGTTTATCGATCAAATCCGTCAAATAAGACCTCTTGCTGCCGATTACACAACGGAAATCCTGCACAGTCAATGGGCAACATACGCTCTTGACTTTCACCATTTCGAAGAAGTCACTTCAAGCTTAGCAGAGACTGCAAAATCTTTTTTTGAAGCAGATGCGGGAATTACCTTTTCTTCAGATGATGTACGCTTTGTATCGCCGCCAAATGGAGACGTTTCATAAACGGGCGCAGTACGCAATTGGTTGGGTTGCACCGTTGGTGCCGTTGGCGATGAAGAAATTTGGTGAGGAGTTGAATGCTGCTTAGATATACACCGTCTTCCCGGCAAAACAAACTTGTGGAACGGTCGTAGGTGGATCAATCACCAATATGTGATCATCCTTTCAACTCCGGATCGTCCGATCGGTAGTTGCACCTGTGAAAAGTACCAGAACTTCCTTATGGCTTGCCGCCACGCCTGTGCGTCTGCATTAAAAGTGAAGGTTTCCACAATCACACTCGTCGACAAATTCTACACCGTTGACACCTATTGCGCAACATACAACCGTCCATATGTTCCAGTCTGAATTGTGAATCTCTCTCTGTCACCACTTTATCACCAAAGGTATCTCGGTTCCGGGGATGACCTGGTTTGAGACGCAAGGAAAGCGGTTCTCAGTAGAAAGCGATGAATAGGAAACCTTGCAAGACATGTGGACAGCTTGGGCACAACAGGAGAACTTGTCGGGAGGCTCATATGTGATCACAGAGGGGGAGGGGAGGGGACGGGGCGGAATCAGAAGGAAAAAGGCGGGTAAAAATCTGTATTTTAATTGTTTACTTCTCCTCTCAGTGCTTGGTTTCACGCAGTATTTGTTGACACAAATTCTGTAGCAACGGGTAGCGGCCGGTTTGTCCGTTGATCACGTTTGCTCACATGTGTCAGTACTTGACGTCACCCTCCCCTTTTTTTCGTCTCGTCAAAGCAAGGAAAATATTCTTGGTTGATAACCTGATGTAATTCTTCGATAGAACGTCTACAAGCAACCCATCAGAAACAGCAAAACAGTATTTCATAAACGTCTTCCTAAGAACCCTCCAATTCGTACTGCAAAAAACACACCAACTTACGGAAATATCTGCAGTATTCACATAACTCTCCAACATGATGACCTCTCGGCTGATCACCAAATTTGCTCGGTCCTCACGAATATGCAATTTTGGCACGTCAGGTCGGGCCTCAGCACGACATAGCAGTCACAAAACACGTGGCAGGACCACACAAGAACTATCTCCGCACCCGCCCACTCTTATCTTTGCGCTTCTTCCAGTGTCATCCATCTTTCTTGTCGTCCGATACCTCTTGTGTATTAAAAAACAACAACGTGCCACCTGGTCGCGCATGAATAGGGTACTGTAATTTATAGTCAGTCGATATCCGGTAAGGGATGCATTTTCTCAAACAGCTCCTCGTTTTCAGTTAAACAATGAAAGACGTACCTGGTGGTCGAAAGTGCACCGAGCGGAGCAGCAAGATGCTTTCCAGCTTAAAGTGCAGCAAGAGGAACACCAGCCCGTCTTTGAAGAGCCATCGCCGAAATGCTTCGTTACGCAGAAAGGCCGCGCGCGCTTGGTTCATTCGCCGTCTTGCAACCCTCTTACAGCTGGCTTAAAGGTGTCCAATCCTGTGAAAAAATGGTCCTATTCTACGAATTTCCGGTAAAAAGTGTCCTATTCTGTGTAATTTATATCGGAATGTCTTTTGTCAAGACTGCGTCACAGAGTCTCGATCGACTGTTTTTGCATCCACACATAGAGTTAAGCCTTGGACGTGGGTTCGAGAGCCTACCCACGCCCTTCCATTCATTAATTACATTTAGAGCACCTACCCACGACCAATTGAATAAATTTCCTTGATTAGAATCCAGATTTATACGATAAAAAAGAAACCTCTTACACCCTTTCAAAAAGGCTATGTCAGAATGAGGTGCTACTTGTTATAAGATTGAGACGTCATGTCCACTTACGTCCACCCACTGATTTTTTGCCACACCCATGACCATAAAAATGTATGGGCGTGGGTGGTCTTGGGCTTGGGCGCGGAATAATAATTTGGAACTTTCTGCAAAAAAATTTTCGCTGCTACGTTTAATTTTCTTTGTGCTTGCTGAATTATTAGCCTTTACTCGTCCGGGCTCTTGCGGTGTGAAGGTTCTTAGCCTCGATTTGACTGGCGCCTTGCAAAGGTAGGATCAGGATTGCGCTTTGTGTCCAACGCAACGATACAAGTTACAACTCCTGGCAGTGATAGCTGTCCCAGACGCCTCTCCACGTGTACAAATTTGAAAGTGATTGCTGCGCTCAAAGCTTGTGTCTCTATGGGTCTTTTCAATTGCCCAGATTGCTAAAAACGTTACCTGACGGGCCTTTCATCAAAGAAATTGGAAGCAAAACGAGCCAATGCGTTCATCCGATCTATTTGAGAGTCATTGAGAAGAAGAGATGCATCTACCTTACGTTAGTGAGCCTGTCGTCACGAGTTCTCCGGAGTTATTAACAAAGCAATATATAGTACACCCGATAAATCAATTAAGACTTCTGCTCACCGTAGTAACATGAGACGTCTGTTCAAGAACATGGAGGGAGTGTCAAGTTTATTACTAACCTTATGCTTTTTACTTGACCGCGTTTTTGTAGCTTCCTTCTCACCAAGCGCAAAATGTATAACCATGTTGGAAATCTTGCGCTCTTTCATCGCTGGATTTATATTCTCGTGTACATGCCACTTTTACAATTACATCGCTTGGTTTTCTCCATATTTCTTCGTGTCCACCTGCTCACGCTCATTTAATGGCTTATTAATAGGTAAATTCACGTTTATTTCCAAAAGAGTAGCGATGAAATGTACAATTAATGGATAATTGAAGTAAAACCAGATTTCGGCAAATACGGATGCGTTGTAGGGAGTATTGAACGAGTGCTTTATAATAGGATAGACAGATTGAGGAACTGTTGTATGTTTGAGTAAAAATGCAGGCGACGGAACAAGAAGGTCTTGGCGACCGAGTTCATATTTCGAAAAACGTAAATGCAAAAGTTTAGATTTATGAAGATAACTAAATGTTTTATACATGCATATATGCGTTATTCGCTTTCAGATTAGATAGAAATCATACCGAAAAATTAATACACCGTCCAAGTATATCCTTATAGTTCACGCTTATACTCGCTAATAATCGCACTTGCGCCCCGTTTTGTTTGAATGTTTCACGCCGTTTGATTCACATTTTTAAATCAGCCTGCCTGCATAGACGAACTGACAAACAGCAGTTCAAAAACCTACTAAAGGTTTGCGCTCAATTTTAAATTACTTTATCACTGCAAATACTGTGAAAATGAAATAGTCCTCGTCCGGTCGCTTTTAAAACTTAATAGGTTTTTATGACGCCGTAGAGTAAAAAAATAGAGGTTATTCCTGAAAGACGACCCATCATCCAAGAAGCACAGCGGAAGTTAATTTATCAGTACAAAATAAAAGAAAATTTATCGTTGCGATTTGAAAAGAGAAATTTAACGCAATTTCGCTAAGCGTGTCAAGTGATAGTAAAATAGCAATCAATTGCATTCAATAAAATAGCGCTTATTACGAATATCAGATTTTATCTCACTCAAGCATCAGATAAGCCACATTTGTTGAAAAAGCAAACCCTTCACGATAAAACAAGCTAAGAAGCGATCGGCTTGGACGAGGTGGGCAGTCAACGTAAATAATCTATAAACACACGTTGTCACCACCATCTTTATTGATCACTTTTGAGTCAGTCATGGCAGCGTTAAGATAATTTGTCAATTGTATTGTCCCTATTTCGCTTAAACACCGTGTTAATCGCATCGAAAACGCACCAGCCGTGTAAATATGTAAGCGGGCGCTTTTTGTCACGCACTACATCAACACACGCCTTCAGATGCCTGTAAGGAAGAGTTTTTACGGTCTTCTCTCGAGTGCAGCAAGGTTTGGATGGGTGCCTGACGACTGCCTCACCGAGCGATGCACGCTTGTAGTAGGTTTGGCTTGGACTCGGTTTCCCGCCTTCCTGCACACACGTTACAAAGGCTCAAATTAACGACAATAGATAAGACGCGCCCAGAAGACATCTCTACATAGCGCTCATTCTGATTATAGGCGCGTTGATGACGTTCTATAAAACATCATGCAATGAAGTCAAGTAGTGACTTCATCCGTGTGTGACACACATTTGGAGGCAGATACGCAATAGCTTTACCCCGACCACATCAAACATATAAGTGTGTAGCCTCTACACAAAAAGTCTCGTGCGACGGTTCGAACCCGTTACAGAAGTGGTATCTGCTACTGCACTAAATTAGGAGCGTCGAGTAATCCTAGGTTTAGAAAAAATTATGTCTAAGGGTAGGAGGGGTTTAAACTTCATCACGATTTTCCACCTCTTTGCTTAGCGCATCCACGATGTTAACATTGTTCAACCAGGTGTGCAGCCTTGCGTTTTTTTAATCTTTATTGTTGACGATTGGACACACAATAAATCCCTTTTTCAAACAGTGCGTCTATAACACATGTTGTGTAGAATTATTCGATAATTATTTATTGCAACAATGCTTCCAGATACCAGACGCATTTTCTCTTTAGAAATGCAGAAGATGCCCTCAACTTTCATGTCGCAATTTCGGATAACCCAAGTTCTAGAGGGGAGGCTGGCGAAAGAATCTAATGCTGGAGCGGTCTCTAACATGGTCCATTTATTTAAAAAAAGGCGATCTAGCCCGTTGTGTTATAGCCGTACCGTGGCCGCGCAACCCGCAATTTAAATCATCACCTTAAATTTGTATTGATTTTGGTGTTAATGAACTCGGCATAGCGTCATTGCCGGTACAATGATAGCGCATCGATCTATTGTAGAGACTACTAAGCTTGTTTACATAGACTACATTTCACATCGGCTAAAAAATGCAATCGAACTTTCCAAACTGATCACTTCGTGTAAGCTGTTTACATCATGCAGTACAAATGAAATGATAGTAGACACTGGCGCAGAAGGATGGCCGAAATCGCGGACGCCCTGCTCAGCGGCCTTTTTACGCCGACTGAATGGTAAAGAGGGATAGACAGAAGCTCCGCCGTCCTGCTCGGCGACCTTTTTTGCCTACTGAGTGGCATTTGCTGCGTGACGAAAGCATGAGGATGATACCGTATGCGACAGATCTT